TTTCCTTTTTGGTTTTTCAAGACAGAGTTCTCTGTGTAGCCCTGGCTGTCATAGAACTTGCTTTGTAGACCAGGCTGTCCTCAAACTCACAGAGATCCTCCTTCCTATGACTCCTGAGTGCTGAGATTTTTTAATACCTCCAAAAAATACTGCGAGCTGCTCCTTTGGGAAAGTGTGCGTTGTAGAGAATTGACAGGCATTGACCTTTTTGCCCCCTGGATGAATATGTTTATCCGAGGTGACTGTGGAGCTCTATTATACAGACAGGGTTCAAGAGCAGAACAGACCCAAGGCTTTCTCCAGTCATTTTTTTTGTTGTTGTTGTTTTGTTTTGTTTTTTCGAGACAGGGTTTCTCTGTGTAGCTTTGCGCCTTTCCTGGAACTCGCTTTAGAGACCAGGCTGGCCTCAAACTCACAGAGATCCGCCTGCCTCTGCCTCCCGAGTGCTGGGATTAAAGGCGTGTGCCACCACCCGGCTTCTCCAGTCATTTTTTTATCAAAGACTAATTTCTCATCTGGAAATAAAGGTATAATCATAAGCAATAGTAAAACAACATATGAAGAACCAGAACTTTAAAATGTTCTGTTACAGATCAAACTAAGAACTGGCATAGGCTAGGCAAGCAGCAATCTGTCAGTGAGCTTCATTACTGGTCTGCCATTGTGTAAAGCTTAGCTGTGTATGGTAAGGATTGTACTTTCTCACTCATACCAAAAGCTAAACAACATCTTTCTGATTGCCCTCATGCTAAAGCCTACCATGGTCCTGTCTTAATAAAATGCCAGAGGTATAGATATCACTCAAATGCTTGCAAGTTGTTTGAGTTCTGTGTGTAATGATTTGCCCAGTCAAATCATGCTCCTTCCCTTTCACACTTGTTGGAGGACTTAACAGTTCACAAGAGGTCTCTATATGCCTTCTAAAGATTGTGCTTTCTCTATAACATTCCAATTGGTAACTATAATAAAACCTCACTATAAAGGCTTGGGATGGTATCTGAAATGCTTCTCTACACTTCTGACCTGGATAACAAAATCAATACGCTTTAGAAAACCCACTGAGATCCTATAAATTAATTCTGAACTTTTCACACATGAAGAAATGAGATCCAAAAGGGATGAGCATCAGCCAATCATGACAGAGCAGAGTCCCTTCATCCCACACCTTTGCCCTGCATCCGGCCTCAGCCTGACCCAGGGAACAGGCAACGTCATCCCCAAAGGCGCTCTTCAGAAGCCCAGGACGCTTTGCTCACAGCACTTCTCCTTTACTCGTGTCCCACTTATCTAGTGAGTGGCTTTCAATGTGTAAGCGGGTTCCTGGTCTGTGGTCCATTTACCAACAAGCGAGAGGGTGAAGACCAGAGGCGGAGGAGAACGGGGTAAGCATGGATGGAGTTATCAGTAGTTGAGAACCCAAGGTAACACAGATAATGAAAACCCTACTTAGAAATAGGAAAGAGAGGAGACATTTGGACAGCCCTTTTGACTATCTAGAAACAATCCATAGTTAAAGCAATGATTGGAGTTCACTCAATTTTTGTTTGTAAATACCTGTTAGGTGTCCACTCATAGTTTTGTCGTGGCTGTTGAACAACTGCCTGTATTTCAGTCTCGATGACTGAGGCACAGCCCATTCTGCTGCTGGAGGGGCACTGCGGGGAGAGAGGAGGGAGAGGGGACACAGGGTGAGAGAACTTGTCTAACACCTCAGGTTGGCAGCGTTTCCTTTTCCCTCCTGGTGGCCCTGGTGTCAAACCCAGGAGCCCTGCAGCAGGCCAAGGTCCCACTCAGCCACACCTGCGGTACTTCTACATTCCTCAAGTTACAAACGTCCTTCCAAAGAGGTGAGTGAATTAGGGGCTGGAGAGACGACGCAGCAGCTAAGAGTGCGTGCTTCCGGAGGACCCAGGTTTAGTTCCCAGCACCCATGTCCTGCAGCTCACACAGCCTGTGACCCAGCTCAGGGGCTCCAACACCCCCTTCTGGCTTCTGCAGGCACCTGCACACATACGGCATACACACACACACACACACACACACACACACACACACACACACACACAGAAATCCTTAAAGAACGAACTAAACCAATTTCTACATATAATTTAACAATCTAAATGTTCCGGTAATATGAAAAAAATACCAGGAACCGAGGCATTATGTACTGCCCAGGTGTTCCTAAGGATTCAGGAATTTTCCCTTTAGTTAAAAAGCCATGCTGGCAATTGCCTTTTAAAAAGTACTCTTCAAAATACTTACCTTTCTACACCAAACTATGGATGCATTTCTTTTTTGATTTTACATTTCGTTATCTGTTTGAGGTGTATATACCTGTGTGAGAGTGTGTGTGTGTGTGTGTGTGTGTGTGTGCGCGTGCGCGCGCATGGTGCACATGCCATGGCACGTGTGTAGAGGCCAGAGGACAACCTGCAGGAGTTGGTTTTCTCTGTCCACCCTGTGGGTCCTGGGAATTGAACCCAGGTCCTCAGTGTTGGAGGTAAGCACTCTGAGCCATCTTATAGTTCCTAGGCCCACTTCTTATCCCACTGGGAGGTTTCAATTCTAGCCAATGGAAAACCTCCCAGAGAGGAAACAGGGTATGTCCAGGGTCCCTGGCTAATCAGTGGAGCGGTCATAGACAAAGCTCCACTTTCTTGACTGTAATCCAACACTGATGTCTCCTGGCCAATGTGCTACAACACTGACCTGAGAAAACCCTGCGAACAGTGAGCCGGGCAATTCCTTCTGGAGACGACACAGCCCACACAAGCATCACACTGACACACATGGCTTGAAAGGCCCAGTGTCTAAGTTAAATAACCAAACCCAATGGAGACAGAGAGGGCGGATGACAAGTCAGCCTCCACATGAATCTCCTTCCATGCTCACAGGATTCAAGTCACACATACCAGATCAAGATTTTAACCACACGGTGAAGTTTTAGTTATTATTTATTAACATGTGTGGTGGCCCTGTACTTCCACAGACGACACCAAGTTCTTAAGCGGCAGCTTCCAACAGCTGGGAAGTAGCAAACTCGGCTTCTTTCATTCCTAAGTTTCGTCATGAAAACACTCACCGCAGCGGCTTCCGCTGTGAGCACCTCGGCAGCACTTCTCGCATTTTGTCTAATATTTTGCTGATTCCAGCGCCTGCCTGTTTATTAAAGGTAACAACTATCTTGCTCCTGCACTGCAAAGATAAAGGGTGCTGCACAGACGCTCGCCCAGATGCCACTTATCAAGCCTTCTACCACATCCTGAGAGTTTACGCAGACCGAAAACTCAGGAAGCACGGCACCTGAGAGGCAGCTCCCCCACAGAAAAGGTACAACTTCACATTCCTGGAAAGACCACGGCCCACACGGGAAACCCAACTATCTAAAAGCACTAGTATTTGCTAACCATCAATAAGTCATCTGAATGTAATAAAGCAATTTTAAGGCAGAATTTAACAACATGTAAGAAAAGTTAAAACCACAGAATTCAGCTTGAGATAGGGAGGAAATTTAATATGAAGATGAGCTTAAATCTCAGCCCTAGGAAAAAAGGGGGGGGGGATGTAAAAGAAACACATACAGGATAACAGGGAACTATGAGTGGCCACATAGAAAAAAGGGGGTGAAAGAAACAGAGAGAGATAATGGGGGACTATGGTTGGCCACATAGAAGCAAGGAGACTGTAGAGCTTCTCTCAAAACTGAGCCACACATATAATTATTGTGAACACTAGTCTGAATAACTCGTTTTATTAAAATTGGTGTTCACTACTGTTCGACTACTAAGTCAGACATTATGAGATTATGACAGTATTAAAAGCCAGTCCAACTTTGGTTCAGATCTCATAAAAAATTAATAACCTTTAAAGGATTAATAGAAGATCATTAATTGGCTTTTCCTAGCCTAGCTCCCCAGAGTCTGTTCTAGTCCACCCGGTTCTATTCCTTTCCTGGTGCTGGTGGTGAACGCTGTTCCTCGAATGTGCTGGGCACGCGCCCTCCCACTGAGCAGCACACCCAACCTGTGCTACTGTACGCTTGCTTAAAAAGATTGGGGAAGTGGCATGTCCTTGATTTGTCACGGTAAGTAAGTGATAAATTCTAATAGCATTATGCAGAATGTTAAAAGGCATTAGCATTCCACAAAATTAAACAAGGTAAAAATAAAGGAGGAGCTATGCAGAGACCACTCAGTGGTTTAAAGCACTTGCTGCTCCAGTAGAGGATGCAGATTCGATTTCTAGCACCCATTGATGGTTCACAACCCTATGTAACTCCAGTTCCAGAGGATCCAACACTCTGTTGACCTCTGTGGGCACCAGGCATGTGGTGCACATACATACATACATACATACATACATACATACATGTACATATATGCAGGCAAAACACTAAACCCATGAAATAAATCTTTAAAAAATTAAGATTAACAAAATTCATTTAAAGGGAATTAAATAATGTCTTACTAACTTTTCCATTAAAAACAAACAGTCTTAACTGGGCGGTGGTGGTGCACGCCTTTAGTCCCAGCACTCGGGAGGCAGAGCCAGGCAGATCTCTGTGAGTTTGAGGCCCGCCTGGTCTACAGAGCGAGATCCAGGACAGGCACCAAAACTACACAGAGAAACCCTGTCTCGAAAAACCAAACCAAACCAAATCAAACCAAACCAAACCAACAACAAACCAAAACAAGCAGTCTTACCTGGCTACATCAAATGATTGTGCCTTCTGTAATTTAGTGTTTAATTGTGACCCTGGACCAGATCTGCTGAAGGAAGAACTCTTTGGCAATGTGGCTGCTGTAAACATAAAATATTATGAGTAATTTTAAGTCTCTAAAAATTAGAAATTTTTCTTATTTAAACCATGTCAACACTGAGTCATAAAATCTAAAGCAGTGACAACCCTCCTTTTCTTCAGTGTGGAGTCCCAGCTATGAGCCCTTTACTCCGTCTCCTGCCTAGATTTACTTGTCCTGCTGAGAAGCCCTGACTGAGCCATAACGCTGACATCCATAGAACTTTGCTCTCTAGTGAACATTTAGTATCACATTTTGTCGGTACTGTTCCAAGTCAATGAAGTAACGGCTTAAATATGTGTAAGATGGCATTTTCTGCCCGGAGGTGGTGGAGCACACCTTTAATCCCAGCACTCAGGAGGCAGAGGCAGGAGGATCTCTGAGTTCGAGGCCAGTCTGGTCTACAGAGTGAGTTCTGGGATAGCCAAGGCTACACAGATATTCTCTCAAAAAAACCAAACAAAAAAGGCATTTTCTTACTACTAAAGGAGCTAAATTATTAGTTCCAGATGTAGCAGCCAAGCAGTCACAGGGTGGCCAGTCTTGGCCAGGTCACTGTGATGCTAGGGAGGGCAGATCTGTGTGACTCTCATCTGACCTGATGAGACCCTGCCTAGTCTTGTAACATTGCCAGAGCGTGTGGATTCCCTCGCCCACGCACAGCTGCATGAGCTCCGTCAGCAGCTGTCACTCACGCACACGAAGGACTGACTGCCCAGGACTACACTAGCGGAGGCCCAGTGCGCTCCTTCTCTCACTGGAATACACCGCGGCAAGTGCAGGTCACCTCAGAACAGTAACAGTGACACAGATATGGTGCTAAAGCTTACGTGACGGGTACACTGCTAAATTTCCTCAGATAGACCCAAGCAGCTTTTTCAAAGATGCCCAAATTGCTCTACATTTTTATGACTGTTAGACCAGGCCATCTATATCTGCAAAAGATGCTGTCTTTTAATTATAGGAAAAGACTTTGAATAAAGTCTCAAAATGAAATTAAACCAAGAACAAAAATAACTACATCCTTTCCTTCAATTAAACAAGCGCTTAATATTGTAAGCTTAATTTATCTGGCCATTTAATTGACTTTCTTCCCCATTCAGCCCGGTTCGTTCTCCTTGTTCAAAAGTCCACAATGCTCACTTTTCCTCACCAAGGAATTCTATTCAGAGGACGGGCTTGTGTATTAGCCATTCACAGAAGCTGAAGAATAGAAGCAACCGATACTTGAAAATACAGAATGTTCAGATACTGCTCGGTCTCTGTGGCTCGTATTGGAAGGAAATTAAGCTCTTGGCTTAAGTTCTGCAGTGACATTCCCTTTCCCTCCTGCTACTCTTAGTGTGCGCCATGGCAAATGCTGGGAGCAAACGAGGATCCAATAGAGGAGCACGACCTACGCTCTCTTTCTCTGTAAAGAAGCAGTAGCCTTTGCTCTAACTAGAAAGTAACAAGATATCTACAAGAAAGAACAGCAAACTGTAAGTGGTGGCGACAGGTCTGCCGTGGGCACCTACCAGGATGAGCAAACGCAGGCAGAGGCTGGATGACGGGAGGCGTCCCGTTGGCCAGGGGAGGCACTGCTGCTGGAGGAACAGAGGACACTAAGGGTGGCGACATTCCCACGACGGGGATGGAGCCCATGGGCACTGGAGCAACAGCCGTAAGTGGTGGCATGCTAGCCATTCCTCCTATACCTACAAGAAAGCAGCCCAGCCAAGCTCAGCCAGTCACACGGTGACGTTCCGCAACATCGAACCCAGTCCTGCTGTCCCAGATGCAGTCTGTCCCCACATAAAACAGTCACGGGGCTGAGAGTACGGCTCGCTGGGAAGTGCTTGCTTGGCTGGCACACACAGCGATGGCTTCAACACTCAGCACTGCACGAGGAAAATTCTTTAAGTTGACACACACACACACCTCAGGTTAAACAGGCAGAGAAGCCAAAGGTTTATGTCAAGAATCACAAGGCCCTTGAGTTCTCTTGCTCGCGTGGCCCATGGTTCGTCTTTACAGTTTCCTCTATCACCCACACTATTCTTTTCGGGAACAACAAGGAAAGGATTGTACACTCAGCCTGAAGACGGGTTCAATTCACCAGGACGAGGGTCAGTAAGAAAAGCATGAGGCTCAGAGATGGAGCTCGGTTAGTAGAGTGTTTTTGTGGTATACAGGAGTCAGGGGTTCGACCCCCAGTACCACACAAACCATGTGTGGAGGCACATGCTTGCAATCCCAGAACTCTAGAGAACTGTAACCTCTGATCCAGAAGAGAGTTGTAAATTCAAGGTCACCCTTAGCTACATAGAGAGTTTGAGGCTAGCCTGGGCTACAGAAGACTGTGTTTAAAATAACAACAATAAACAGTAATGGAAGTAGATTTAACGGCAACAAATGTACTGTGTAGACTTTGGGTCTCATTAATTTTTGTGTGATGTTTTTACTTGCAAGTTCTTAAAGAAATAATAAAATTTATCAAAAAAAATTAAAAAGGAAAAAAAGAAAGGTACCAAAAACAAAAGGGAGTAACAAATCAGCCATTCTACCCGCCTCTTCAATATATATCACACCTAAAAGTAACCAAACGGTTCCTGAGAGAAGTATCTCTTTATAAATATGTTCTTAACCAATAAAAGCACATTGGGACTAGAACAAATGCTCTTTTATATTTGTCTCCACTTTAACAGCTTCCTAATTTCCCTAAGGTAAATATTCTTGTAAAGTACAGCCAAGAGTGGTGCCCATGTCTATAATCCTAGCACTTGGTAGTAGAGGTAGGAGAAGCAGGGGTTCGAGCCCAGCCTGAGCACATGAGACACTGCTTTAGAAACACATTAGCTAAGTGTCTCTCATTACTCACTCACTACTGAAGCCCAAAGGGTCCTCCTCTGGGCAAGGCAGTCTCTCCAGGGTAGCACCTTCTGAAATGACCACTATCAAAGAACACACCTTCTAAGTTCATCACGGATATGTCATACTTCAAGTCTAGAACCAGATATTTTCTTTTTCCCAAGAACTTCTGGTTTCCTATAGCAGGAAACGCTCTGTCCACAATCTGGGGATGCCACAGTAGCTGGGATCAACCATTGTTTTCAGACCTTTTCAGTGGAGGGAGGGCAGAGAGAGGAGGTAGGTGATGTGTAGACAGAGTGGATGGGTAAGTGAATACAGTGAAGACTGGCATACCCCTGAAACCTTACAAGCTGACCAGAGTTTGTCTGGGCTCCATTTGAAAATCACTTTTTCAGGACATTAAAAATCCCTGGTTCAGCCAGGCCAATGCCTTTTATCCCAGCACTCAGGTGGCAGAGCCAGGCAGATCTCTGTGAGTTCGAGGCTAGCCTGGGCTACAGAGTGAGATCCAGGACAGGCATATAAACTACAGGGAGAAACCCTGTCTCAAACAAACAAACCAACAAGCAAACCCCCGGTTCACATTTCCCTGGGATCCTGCCAATGTCACTTAATTTTCCTGGCAGCAGTGCACAGCTGTCAACGTCCGATACTAATCTGTCTTCCCTTATGAACCACACGATGTCCTTTTCTTTTTTTGAGACAGGGTTTCTCTGTGTAGCTTTGGAGCCTGTACTGGATCTCACTTTGTAGACCAGGCTGGACTCGAACTCACAAAGATTCACCTAGTTCTGCTTCCCGAGTGCTGGGATTAAAGGCGTGCACCACCACCGCCCGGCTAACGATTTCCTTTTCTGCATGCTCACATAATCTTTAAAGTGGAATTTACCCCAGGGCTGGTCTTTTCAGGGTGAGTACTATCAGACATGCTCTTCTACTTCAGGAGAATGGCCCTGAATTCCTGTTTCGGTTTGCTTTGCTCCCTGGTGGGAGATTCTTCATGAATTCAGTATCTGTCAGTTCCTTTTTATATTTACGGCTTCATTTTCTTCTAATTTTAAAAAGGGTTTTTATTTCTCTTTAGAACAGCATTTCTGAAGTTGCTTCTAGTCTCGTCTTTGTTTCTAGACTAAAGGTTCGTTGTCCACTCCTGGCTGAGTCCTGCCACTCGCTACTGGGATGTTTAAATCCTGGTTTAGCTGGTGTCTGAAGACCTGTATCATGTGCACAGCATCCTGTGGCTTGTCTGAACCGGTGGGATCACTGCCTGCAGGGGCGGCGGCGGGGCCTCAGCTGTGCCGTGTTTTCTAATAATAACTCAGTGCAGGATGACCGGCTCCCACCTCTCTGCTGCCCATTTGTACTGAGTCCGTTTTCTGGACTTTCGGGGTGCTGCCCCGCGCCCCCACTTCTTCAGCACTTCCTTCCCTTGTCTCTGACTCTGCCTTGGGAACGGGCTTGCCCCCAGAAAGGGTCTGTTCCGTGTGTTTGCAGCGCCCGAGATTAAACCCGGGACCCCACACCAGAGGAGTCAGTTGGAGCAGGGGTTGTGGAAACCCGACTGCCCAGACCTTTAGGCCTTCTGCAGGCCCCTGTGTGCTCTGATTGGATGGATCTAGTTCCTTAGGAAAGTCTACCAATTCCTTGACTGCTTCTCTTTCTCAACTACAGCAGACAGACGATTTCTTCCTTCTGCTCCCCACTGTGACAGACTTACACGCTATATTGCTTGTATTCCTTTCTTTGGCTTTCCGTGTGTGTGCCGTGTGCAAAGTGTGAGTACATGTGTGTGCTTACAAGTGTGTAGAGGCGAATCCTGATCCAGCCGCTCCCCAAACCCACCCTCTGGCAGTTGGCTTGCCCTGGAGGTCCTACCTCTCCCTGTGTGCTGGGATTACAGTTGCCATAACACCTGTTCAACTCTGAAGCGGGTTCTGGGGGTCCAGACTCCTGCTCTCACACATATGCTCTCCTCACTAAGCCCACCCCCCCTTGTATCTCCTTTTCTAACAGTCAACCTGACTTCTGTACCTCTTAACTGGGGCTCTCTCAGCCCTCAAGAAGCTGGGGCAGGACCAGGAGTTGGATGCCAGCCCTGGTGACATAGTATGTTCCAGATGAGCCTGGACTAACAACTAAGATCCTTTCTCAAGAAAAACAACACAGTTATTGTCCCTAGGTGATAGGACAGTAATTTTCACATTCTCAATTCTTTTTGCACTTTTCAACTGGTTTCCATATTACTATACAATGAGAAAAACTCGCAACCCTTACGAGGGGATGAATCCAGTGCTGTGAGCATGCTAACCGTATGTTTTATTACTGAGCTACATGCCAAGGGCAGCTCTTCATTTGGAAAAACAATACTAACAATGTTTATAGGTATTGAAAGCACAACACATGGAAGGAATTTCCAACCTGGGTAAGTTTACTATTCACAGACATCTAGAGGATTGGTTTATAGGCCTCACCCACCATCAACACTTTACCACACATCTCATTGCAGCGGATTCATTTAATGTCTCACGTATCAACACACATCACACTGATTCAGGTGCAGATACCTGATGGTTGTGCTAAAAAAGACCGCCTAAGTCCTTCAGGACTTTCAAAAGTATAACACTGGCAAACTTCCAAGACCCCTCAATCTCTAGAACTACAAATTCTTCATCTTAAAGAAATGAAAGTAACCTTGAAAGTAAGAAATGCTGAAAAAGAAGATCTTAAAATAAATAGTATGTCAAAATTGTTACTAAAAAGACTACACAAAACTAGTTAACTGTTTAAAAAAATCACCAACTAGAAAAGCATCGTTTAAGTCTCCAAATGTTAAACTCTTCTTCTATCAGTTTTTCTAGGCTGGCCTTGAGTTTACAATCCTGTCTTAGCCTCTAGAAGCTGGCATTACAAGCCCATGCCACCATCCCAAGCTCCTTCATTGCTTTAACCCCACTGCAGAGCTGAGACAGAACACCTGCCTAGGGCGGCAAGATCCAGGGCCTGGTCCCCAGCATGTCAAACCAACAAATGCAATACAACCCAACTGCAAAGCCTACCTCATCTCATCAAGTGAGTGTATTCTGTCTGTCTGTTGAGACAGGGTCTCTGTGTATCTCTGAAGGGCCCATAACTCACTACATAGGCCAGGCTGGCCTTGACCTTACAGCAATCCTCCTGCCTCTGCTCCCAAGGCTGGGATTGTTGGTTAAGGAATGACTTTCTAGTGAAATGTATTTATTGGAGGCTGAGCCTGGATGCCATCACTTCCTATGATGCTTATTCTTCATTCTAGGAATTCTCCTGCACCACTGGGACCTTCCTTCCCTTTCTATACAGTGCTAGAGCATCTCAGCTGACCGTCAAGCCCTCCTCTGGCCCCATACAGGCACTGGTTCCAAACTCAGGTGGTGAAGGTCACCGAGATGCCCACAAGTCAAGTTCAATCACGACTTTCCTCCCCTGCTCTTGCCTCATCTCTCGGGAACAACTACTCAAGCGGTAGCTCACTCCATTCCCCTTGACCCTTTCCTGGCGCTGGTGACCATTCCTTTCCCTCCCGTTCATGCTCCTCGGTCCTCACCGCAGTGCCTCCCCTTACTGCAGTTCCTAATGCCGCACCACACCAACACTTGACTCCACGGCCCTCTCTACGCTCTCCACCTACCACACCGCCCCTCCCCAGCACCGGGCTACATTCCCGACTCATCTGCCTCACTTACGAAGAAGACTCCATGACAAACCTGTTTTCCTCCTCTCCAAAACAAAGCCTACAAGGCTAAGATGAGCTGGCGAAGACCACCATGTGAGCCGAGAGTGGAACTCGATTCCGGTCAAGACCGGTTCTTTGAGTAAGCCTGATGGACTCCTGTACTTTTAACTTCTCTTATGCCCACAGGCTTTATTTAGTTTCCTGAAATCAGTTCAGTGAAAATGCTTACGTGATGACAAGCAGGTGAGAAGACCCAGGCTGAGGCCGGCAATGCAAGGGTTCCCTTGGTAGCAGTGTGAGCTGTACAGATGTAAGACACTAAGCAGTGAGCCCAGAAATGCCTCAAAAAGAACAGCAATGCTGACAAAACCGAAATTCCCAGAGCAGGAAAAAGAGAAAAGAAATTAAGTGACAAAGAAAAACCTGCACACAATTTAGGGAAAAAAGAAGAAATGGGACATCATTGTTCAATGGATTCTTTCTCCACATTGTGGTCTCTCGGAAGAGTCCAAAAGAAGACCAAGCATGCCTTAACAAAATCAGCTGCAAGTACCTTCAAGGATTCCGTGCAAAGTCCACTTGTATATAGGCCAGCTGACTGCCGGCTAAGTACAGCAAACACAAAGGTAAATGGGTCTGTCATGTGCTGGTGTGACACCGTTCACTTGTGCCCCTCCTAGTCTTTGTTCACGTGTAGCTTTGTGTTTCTTCTCACAGACCTTGCTCTACTAAACTAAAGATCACCCCCAGCTCACACCTTCCTCTGAGAACGGCAACAGAGTATTATGACTTGACTAGTGATGTCCCTCACAGACTGTTTTCAATGTTTGTCAGTGCTGTGTCGGGAGGTTTTTGACCTTTGGGTACCAGAAGGCACTGCGCAAGTTTCCAAAGGAGGGAAGCGACCGACAGTCCTCCTCAGCTCTGACACCCACAGCCACAACAACGCTGTGAACAACACAATGAACGCTGGCACAAGACACAAGGGTGCAGCGGTGGCGCACATTGGCGGTAACCAGCAGCGCTCTGATGGGATTTAAGACCCGCTCAGCAAGGGAGAAATCACGCCTGGTACTGGAAACGCAGCCAACTACCCGGGGCTGGTGAAGGACTTACAACTGCCACTTCCCTAAACCAGCGTAAACCAGCGTAACTCCTAATCACATCTAAATACGTGTCCTTCTACCCTCAGGTAAGTGCAGTCTTCACTGTCATCAAGGAAACTTCTCTCTGCAACAGAGGGAGACCATGACAGACAACTACAACCAATCAAAACGCAGAGCTGTGGAGCCAGGCCCAACAGATCCATCTACAATACAGCTCCAGCACTTAAGGTTCAGGGATCACTGCAGAAGGGAGAGCGGAAAGATCGTAAGAGTCAAAGGATCAAGGGGTTTGCCATGAAAGTGTCTCCAGGAAATGTCAGCAGATACACCCATGGTGTCTCCCCAACATGACTGCCTAAACACGAGCTGAACAATAGCAGGCCAATAACAATAGGCATACTACAGTGAAAGGTGACAGGGGTCCTCAACCCTGCATGAAGAACTATATGAGCTAAGGAAGGCAGAGAGTGGGAGAATAGTCCACCTCTGTAGGGTAGGGAAGAGTATACCAATTGGTTAACCAGTGGTCAGCCCTGAAAACACACATATAAAGCAACATTATACAGACTGAGTAGGTTGGATTTACATATTTAGGAATACACACACATACTTAACAATAATTAATGAAAAAACAATGAATGAATGTGAAAGACAGCAAGGAAGGGTGTCTGAGAGGATTTGAAAGAAAGGGAAGGGGGAAATGTGATCTCAAAAAATAAAAAATTAAATAGAAAAAAAAAGACAGGTATCACAATCCAATGGAACTACTTATGTACAAGGAGAAACAAAGACTCTGAAAAACCAAAGGGATGTGGAAAGCCAGGAGACAGCGCCGCAGCAGCAGAATGAAGGCATGTTCCTTAAACCCAGAGTGAGTGACCCTCTCCACTGGGATGGTCTTTACCCTTGGGGTCAACGTGGACAGCACTATCTTTCTGAAGGCTGTCTTTTTTTTTAAAAAAAAAAAAAAAAAAAAAAAAAAAGATAAAATCACCCAAGAATTTTACTATTTCTAAGGGGAGAAGGGGGAAAATACCCATTTTTAAAACATACAGCAAATTCTAGGCAGCGACTCATGTTCAGACTTACCGAATGCTGGTGCGCTGGAAATAGCGACCGGCTGCTGCTTCATGACGGGGGGCAGTGCAGAGGGCAGCTGATAGCCTTGGAGCTTCAGCTTGATGAGCTTCATGGCTATGGAGAACTCCACCTGGTCCATCCTCCCGTCGTTGTTCATGTCAGCGAGGGCCCTGCGAAGGAAGCGCAGCACAGGCTCAGGACCACCGGGACCACCAACTCTTTCTCAACACCACCCCTCGGGCGCAGACCAAAGAACCGGCTCCTGTGCCCAAAGAGAACAAAAAAGCTACGGGGTTGGGGTGGGTGGGGGGAGCCGGCCGTTTTAGGTGACTACGCGGTATTCTGCACCCCGCTAGTCTTTACCTACAGAGACACAGAGGGTCTTTCAGCCTGAGTTTGAAGACTTGTTACTTTTTAAGAGATTTCATTTGAATAAAGAATGTTCTAAAGTTAGACAGGGGTGGAGGTGACACAATTCTATGACAATTCTACAGACACTGAACTGCACAGGGTCGTTTCAAAAGGTAAATTTGTTACATGAACTACGTTGTAATTAAATGTTATTAAAATGGATCTGGAAATAGTCTTATTTCTAGAGATGCCAAGTTAAATTCCACTTTCATGGCGTGGCATACTATCCTTTTCTGGGACACTACGACACCGGGAGAGCTCTTCAAGCTAACTGCTTTTAGAACCCTGCCCGGCACACTCACTGCTGAAGCCGTGCTTAGGGGTGAGCTTGCTGTTTCAAACCATCCTCAAGCATCCACGGCCAAGTGTGGTTTGTAATGAGTTTTCCAAGAGCACTTCCTCCCGTGGAAAAGGCAGCAAAAGCAGTGAAAGGTTCAGATCTGCACCGGAAGTTACACTGCCCAACCCAGCTGCGCACACTCACGGCAACATGAAAAACACTTGTTAGACTTCACTTCTTTTACCCACAGATGAAAACACACAACAAAAAGCGTGCCCTGCAATAAAGCTAAAGCTCTCTAGAAGAGACACAGGCCGTGGAAATTGGCAGTTATTTGGAAGGTAAAGATCATCTAGCTGGAAGGAGCTCCATGGTGGCTGGCCCAGGAGCTGGGTCCTCCTGCAGCCGTGACCCTCACAAACCACGTGTTCCTCGGCGCTCACTTTCTTAGGCTTCCTGCTCACTCAGATTCACTGTCCTGCAAACTGCTGCTCTCGCCTTTGCCAAATTTCCTGGCGGATCATACTTCTTTTTCTTGCCATTCACTATATACAGCATATTAACTATTTAGCTGCAGACACGTGAGTTTTAAAATTTTAGTCTACTGATTTTGTGTGGATCTTCACTGCATAGAAATTATACACTGTGTACACAAAATATATATTATCAGCGTTTAAGTTTTCAGCCTTTAATTTGTCTTGCTACATTTTAATCTTTAACCTAACTGTAATTCCATGGGGGGAGGTGCTATCCATGATCACATCACATTTCTTCCAATCAATACCGTCAGAAACCCCCCACCCCCCCCACACACACACCACACTGAGCTGTTATGCTCTCAGTGTTCTTATGGAGTGAGACATTTCCAGATCAGCTTTCCTGAAACAAGCAGGTCAATGTGCCGTGATCCCGTCTCAGGAGCTCAACGGCATGCTCTGCTTTTCCTTTTTAGGGACACTGTTTTCGGGACTGGAGAGGGCAAGCTTGCAGCATAAGCATGAAAACCTTTTACACGCCCAACACATGTGAAAGGTATGCAGGCGTGTAAAAAGTAGGTAAGGGATGGTGGTGCATACTTGGATTCTCGTGCAGGGAAGTGGAGGCTGACCACTGATCTTAGCCTCACTGGGGAGCTGTCAAAGACCCTGTCTTATGAACAGAAACAAAACACAGACACTAAAGAGATGGCTCAGCTCTTAAGATTGCTGGCTGCTCTTGCAGGGGACTCGGGTTCACTTCCCAGCACCTACAGAGCTGCTAACAATTATCTGTTTATAGTTCTTGGGGGGAATTTGAAGCCCTCTTCTGGCCTATTCAGGTACTACACACACACACACACACACACACACACACACACACACACACACACACACACACTTGCTTGTTTTCTTCTGTACTGGATATACATAGTAGTTTGCTCAGCAAGGGAAATAATACTTCCGTCTTTCAAATTCTTCCATTTCCTTTAATAAAACAGTATTTTCTTCCTATATCACACTTTCTTCATGCAACTCATGAAACTTTATTGATAAATATATTCTATGAAATTTTATCATTTTTACCAGACTTGTAAGAAGCATATTTCTCTAATTTCTATTTTTTTAGGTGTTTATTTTTAAGCACTCAGGAAACAGGCAGGAGAACAAGAGATCCAGACCATCTTTTGCTACATCAAAAGACCCTGATTCAAACACATGCACAAATTCTTAAGTCATTTATGCTACATTTAATTATCTCACTCAGTTTCTAAGCATATAACTAACATAATAACGTCAGTAGAAAAACAAAGGGCATGACCTCTCTTTCCCAGTATTTCTAACAGTCTTTATCACCAGTCTTTTCGCCTGGTAAGACACTACTGAACACATTTGCACTTAGTTCTGAGTGTAGAGAAATGGAGTCAGTACTTCACTGGTTAGAACGATTCTTAGTAGTGACTTTTGCTAAGTAGTCTAACTTACTTTATTTGCTTTTAAGACAGGATTGCAAGTAGCCCAGGGTAGCCTGCAATTCACTACATCGAGAATGCCCATAAATTCTTGCTCCTTCAGCCCTAAGTGCTAGGATTGCAGGCCCTAAAATGCCACGTGGCGGGTCTTTAACTTCACTAACTAGTTACTGGTACTAGTTGTTACTGGTTACTAGTTACTGGTACTGTTGTCGCCTCCTCTGTGTCGTCTGAGAGCTCTGCTGCTGAGCCAGAGCCACTGGAAGAAAAGCTTCCTGTGCTGTGTCTAGTTTTGTTTTTCAAATCTTATTCCACATCTGTCCAGCTGAGGATGAGCTTTCCTTCATCTGCTGAAATGAACAAAATGTTGACAGAATCGCGTGATTCTCTCCCATGCCTCTGGCTTAAACTCAAGCAGGTCCAAGTGCTGTGAAACTCACACACCGTGAAAGTCTACTTGCTTGGGTTTGCATCTATCTTCAGGACAGGACCTGGCGGCCAATGAGTTGTTCTATTTTGCAAAAGCTTTCAGATTTAAGAGATACCAATAAGGTGACAGTCTTTTCTTCTTCTGCAAAGTATTTTTAAACATGCTCAGCTATTTTAAATGCTTTACAGGGGAGAAAAGTTCCATTCACAGCAATGTGCATACTTTATTTACGTTTAAATAAAGAACCAAGCAGACTTCCACCCTCCATCCCACACTACTTCTCCTGGAAAACGTCGTTGGTGGAAACTGAAAATATTCAATGTGAGATTCATGTGTTAAGGGACAGAAGACTTTTTAGTAAGAGTTTGACTAGAATAATTTAGTGCTCCTAAACCCCTTTCCACTTCCTTAGGCACGGAGAAAGAAACCAGAAGCAAGGACCCAGCACAGTTCTAACATTAGTCTACAGTTCTCAAAAAGATTTTGTCCCTCAATTAACAAAACTTAACTAGTAAAACTCCCTAGTGACGAGAACTCAAAGGCAGTTCTGGCAATATCGTTACTCTACAAAGCTCAGCCCTCTACCCTTCCCCTCCTGGTACGGACACTACAGCAGAACCCAGCGGCTTGTCTACGGCAGAACCCAGCGGCTTGTCTACAGCAGAACCCAGCGGCTTGTCTACGGCAGAACCCAGCGGCTTGTCTACAGCATTGCTGTCAATCCACTGCCCAAGGCTTCCGACAAAAAGCAAACACTGAGACTCTGGCGTCCTTTTCTTACTCTGCTGCTGCAGTTACTTCTCCGGTGAACTCTGTACCCGTGAGTCTGGACGACAGTGACCCCAAATCTGTAAAGCTTAAGTAGTAAGAGTGTGTGCTAAACAGGTGCCCAGCAGGCACCGGTGGCTCGTTGACTCTGGAAACCGGCTGAGGAATAAATCGGAGATTAGCCATGTATCTATCAGAAGTGGTGCCTATCAAGAGGAGGCAGGGTGAGGAAGGAGCAGAGGTGTCAGATGCCAAGTGTGGTGGCTGAGTGATAAAGGCTGCCCATAGTCTCTGGCATTTGAATGTGTGGTCCCCAGCTGGCAGCCCTGCCTGGGGAGGCTTAGGAGGTGTGGCCTTGCTGAAGGAAGTGTGTCACTGGGGTTGGGCTTTGAGGTTGCAAAGACTCCTCGATGAGGTCTCTGCTTCCTGCTTGTGGTTAGATATGTGCCCTCAGCTGTGGCTGATGCCATGCTTGGTGCTGGCTGCCAGGCTTCCCCAGTGGGACGGGACTGATGGGCTCTTACTGTCAGCACGAAATACACCCTTCCTTCTCTAAGTTGCCTTGTCATGGTTTTTTATCGCAGAAAAGGAACTGGAAAGTAACTATCACACCAATGGTACACTTTTCTTATTTGATTTATACAAATAAATCACACACCGCTCTCATACACTGTTGGTGGGAAAATTACTACAACTCTAAGTGGCAAGGAAACCACATAATCATTTACTTAGAACGAGCAACTGTATGCTTATGAATTATCTCTGAAGGTACATTTTCACCAACGTAAAAACACATGGCTAAGAGCTATTCATCACAGAATTTTCTGTAATCACTACATTATCAGTAATCGCAATACACGGGTAACAACCTAATACGGAAACATGGGAGATGACTGGATAGAAGCACCAAGCATGCCTGACACCATGTAAACGAGAAGACGGAGGATAAGTGCTTTCCAGGATACGGTAAATGAGAAAAGCAAAAAAATAAAAGTGCGTTTATAGCTCACCCTTAATATAAGGAAGAGGAATAAACTACACACCGACAGGAAACATTCTATGTTCTGTACCTGCTCTTTACCACAATAATAAACAACAGTAGAAAACAGTGATGTGAGTGGGAACATGGAATGAGAAGCAGACTGGGAGGCTCTCTGCATACACTGCTGCTGTCAGAACGTTGTTAATAACCTGCAGACCTTGAGGAGCTCTTCCTGAAGAGCAGGAGGTCACTGCTCCGCATAGACATGTCACAGGCCATCCATCTGCCATTTGGTGCCCATGAAACCAAAAGTAAGGCCAAGCAATAAGAAAAATGAAACCAGTTTGCTTACTCATTCATTAAAAAAAATTAACTCTGGGTGCACCTGCTATGGTGTGAGCGCCGTCTTCTTGTTTAGAACAAGTCAGATTAGACACCACAAAGCCCAGAGGGAAGGGCTGGCTTTGCGTTTCAGTGGCAAAGCCCTCTCTGTCCAGCATGCTGGAGGCCCCGGGGTGCAGACCCCCCACCGTGAAGTGGCGCTGGGACTGCAAGAGGGTTCCGGGGCAAGGGAGCCACTCTGGACAACTGCAAAGAGCATCTTTTTGCAGGATGACAAGACAGTGAGTGGTTAGGTGGGTCCTACAACTGCAGGAAGAAGACTAACACAGTGGTCCTGGGGCAAGGAGAGGCCTGCCCTGGGAGGAACACTGGGGGCAGCTTCCGGAGGAGATGCTGTGGAAGAGAGTGAGCAAAGATAAGAGGTAAGAGGAGGGGAAACACAGCAAAAGCAGGATCATACTGGACATATAGTTATGGCTTTGGGTTTTAGTCTCAATGAAGAACTTTAATTAATTAATTGATTATATATATTGTGTATGAGTATTTCTTTGCATGGATATGTGTGTACCATGTATATGGCTGCTGCCCTCAGAAGTCAGAAGAGGGCATTGGATCCCCTGGAACTGCAGTTACAAACAGCTGTGAGCCACCATGTGGGTGCTGGGAATTGAACCCAGTTCCTCTAGAAGAGTGGCAAGTGCTCTTAACCACTGAGCCATCTCTCTAACCACATAATGGAGAGTTTAAATGTCTGTTTCCAGAGGGGCAGGGGTTCATTTTTAAGGCTGATCTCATGTAGCCCAAGCTGGCATTAAACTATGGATGCTCCTGTTTTTCTACCTTCAAAATGCTTTGACTATAAGTATGAGGCATCATGCCCAGTGTGGTTTTTACTTTTTAAGAACAGATGTATTTTATTTTCAATTGTATGTGTGCATGTGAGTGTGCACATGAGTACTAAGCATCCTTGGAGGCCAGAGGTGTCAGATCCCTTGGAGCTTGAATTACAGGCAGTTGTCAACAGTTCAATGTGGGTGCCAGGAATTGAACCTCAGAGCCTGTGCAGCATCTCTGAAGAGCAGTTTGAAATTTCATGAAAAGAGACTTGCTGAGATGATGCGCAGGGAGCAGCAAGCTGCCCTTGAGCCCCAGCTCCAACACCCATTTACTGAGTAATTCACAGTGGTACTTAAGCTCTTCAAAGCTCAGTCTTAACAACTGTCATGAATAACAGCCTTTCCAACCTCATATTCACGTGTTTCCCTGGATGGACTCTGCCACATGGGATCCCTGTGGCACTGATCTAAGGAGGAAGAGAGGTCTGCATCTGTAGAGGCTCACTGTCCTGTCTCCTGTCTCCCAGAGGTCTGCATCTGTAGAGGCTCACTGTCCTGTCTCCTGTCTTCCAGATGTGTGCATCTGTAGGAGCTCACTGTCCTGTCTCCTGTCTCCCAGAGGTCTGCATCTGTAGGGGTTCACTGTCCTGTCTCCTGTCTCCTAGATGTCTGTGGTTGCAGAGCTAATGAGCTGACTATCTCAAAGCCATTGTGGTGTTTTGTAGAAATTGCATTACAGTTAACTAGCTCCTGGACTCTTGAACTATAGCCTGTTCAGACTTGGGGACTGCTTGTCTCCCAGCAGGATTTCCAGTGAAGACGATGACAGCCACAGGAAAGGTAAATCCTCTGAAGGAGTTAGGTTAGAGTGTGGAATGCCGGCTGGATTCCAACAATGGAACGCCGAAGATGACACAGCTCCTAGAAGCCCCCCGCCCAGGAGGGAGGCGGGGAATTGGCAGACATCGTTTGGCAATTAAACTGTTTAGAATTATTTCTGCCTCACCCTGGTGTTAAGAAGAAGAGGCAGAGAGGAAGGACAGAGCCCTGTAATCTCTGCTACTTAGGAAGCGGAGGAAGGAAGACTGAAGTTCAAGGCTACTGTGGGCAACTAATCAGAACTCCGCATCAAAATACATTTCTTTCTTCTTCTCCTCCTTCTTTTCTTTTCTTTTATTTTACTTTTATTTTTATTTTCAAGACAGGGTTTCTCTGTGTAGCTCTGGCTGTCCTGAAACTCACTCTGTAGACCAGGCTGGCCTGGAACTCACAAAGATCTGCCTGCCTCTGCTTCCCAAAAGCTGAGATAAAAGGTGTGCACCACCACCAGGCCAAAATAAAAATTAAAAGGTGGGGGGAGGGTACACAGGGATACAATTCAGTGAGTATTTGGGCAGCATGCTTCCAAGGTAAGGCAGTTTTTGGCATTTTTCCCCCTGAGCTGGGGTTCCATACCGTGGCTCCCACTAGCCTCTAAGCCAGGATCCACTGGTCTCTCAAGTGTCAGCACCACAGCCCTGTGCGGGCATGCCTGGTGCTAAGACGCTTCATGAGCAAAACTTCAGAAGTCGGCTATATCATCAGAGGAGCACACGTCAGTCAGTGGAGGAGCTCTGGAGAGCAGGGTCTAGAGACAGCCTTCACAGAGGGCACAGCGCCGCACGCCAGGCTGCAGCCCACAAGAAGCCTGTAACCACCCAAACAGGTGTCACGCAAGTGCATCTCGATTCCGACGCACAACTGCGTGGACGCAGCTCCTGGGCCTGCTTGCCATGGACTCCCTGAACACGAGCTTCCTCTCTCCCAGAGCCGTTTACGTCCTAGCTCCAGTGGACCAGCAGTTAGGACTGGAAGAGCGGCGGGGAAGCAAGCGCGGGGTGGAAGCAAGCTCCCTAGCAGAAAGAAGGAAAGAGACTGGCTGCCAAAATGCTGACAACAGGAAAAAAGACGGCAGACAACCGAATACAGCCCGGGACTCTGGCATCGTTACTTTTCAGTCCGAATTTGATACAACAGTGTGCGCGTTACATGTCTCAGTAATTAGCTGGAAAGTGCGGTTGTGTGGAAGATCCGGTCTCCGACGCTAAGACCTACCTTCCTGGGTTTTGTTTCAATGGCCCATGATATCATATGTCAAGCCACACATGAAATCCGTCATGTACAGTTGTTCTGTCAACCCACTCAACTTTACAACAAAACACAAACATGCCAATTACCTACATTAAAAATCGAGGTCAAAACTGGCAAAAATATGTTGCCAACAGCCGAGACAGAGAGCGCGACATCTAGGACTACATTTTCTGTCCTTTCTTTACACCAAGTGCCCTCCATAACACCAACACCCTCAGGAAATGGAGGTGCAGTCCTGGTAAGAGCCAGAGGAAAATGTGGCTTTCTTACAGGACCTCATAATTCAGCATGGCCCCCCAGAGCTGGGAACCTAGAACCCAAACTCTGTCTGACAGCCTGTGCGACTCATGCTCACTCATGAGCATCTCCTCTTGTGACAGAAGTCGGCACTCACTTCGCATTGGTCGAGGATCACACTGTACAAAGCACCAGTCATTTCTAACTACTACTAAGTCTCAAAGAGTGAAAGATAAAGAATAATTAATTCCTTTAGAAAGGAAGAAATGGGGGGCATTTAAATAAGTGTGAATGATATGCATGGAGCCCAAACCAATAGCGGGAAACTACCCACATGCAGATGTTTCGGTCACAACTGAATGTTTGTGCACAGCACGGCCACTCAAATGGCGGCCCTCTGCAAAAGTAGTCTCTGGAAGAAGTGACAGGAGGTTCTCGGCTAGGCCTGCACGCTCTCTTTCTACATAAGAAACTGCATTTCCAAACAAATGGAGCATAGACAGTGTTTTATTTTACATTCGGCTCATATGAAATTCCAACTTACCATATTTGTGCTAAGACAGGCTGAGGTAACCCAGATTGAAAAAAAAAGTTCCTCGCTTGGTCACCTGTAAAGTAAGTGGGGAAGGTTTGAGGAGAAGCAGAGCGGCAGTGAACAGAAATCCTCTTACAGCAAAATTACAGAATCATTTAGGAAGCTGGGTACCTGAGAACGCCAATGACCCCATGGGAAAGGTCAGAGGTCTCTAACATCTAATTCATTACAAACACCTAACTCCACACTTGAAAAGACGGGGCATTTGCTGGGATGGACGCCACCCCCTTGAGGCTGTGGTCAGACAAGATGAGCCACCCAACCCGCCCCAGGCTGCTGCTGCGGCTGCGAGGTGCTGGAGACTTCAGGAGGTGGGGCCTAGTGAAAAGTCTTAGGTCATCAGCCAAGCCTCGGTCCTGAACTGAACCGGTACACTAATATAAGCCTTTCTGTTTTAACACCTGATGTACAGGCTATTTTGTTACAATAAGAGAGGAACACAGAACAAAGCACACACAGAGGACTCCTTAGTTAACAACTCTATAAAAAGCTTTTACTCTGAATATTGACACTGTTGATACTAACACAGAACCCGCAACAATGAAAAAAGTCCTGCCAATCAGTAAACTGGAGAGTTATCATAAAACAAACACAAAAATACCTCCTAGGAAACCCAGATTCCCACTTCCTGCATGGAACTGCTGAATGGTGGCCAAACAGCAGGAAAGGACTTTCAAAGACAGCAAAAAAACCCTCGGAAAGTGTCTGCTGTCTGCTGCTCTCCCAGGCCAGGAAGGGTTAGCACTTTAGTCTCAGGGCACAGGTCTGACCCCATTTAAAGGCTGTAGTGCTCTGACTACAGCCAGATCTCAGAAAGCTGTCCAGCAGGCGGCCGGATACTCATGGAGGACTACTGTAAAGGTTGGAAGGTGTTACAAGAGAAGCAATTTAAGAACATCGTCTCGAGGGCCTGAGAGCGCTCTGGGTAAGAGTCCACACCTGAGGCCCGAGCTCCTGAGCTCCCGAGCTGGACTGCTGAAAGCCATGGCAAGACAGGGGAGACCTGACCCCACAAAGCTATCCTCTGCCTTCTCTACCACTCCAACACACACAACGATGACGATGAACAAAATTTCGAAAACAAGTAACCAAAGCACAGGTTCAGGATGAGGCCAAGTGGATTAAAGGCCCACTGGTCACACGCGCCCACTTCTCCACATGGCAGATTTCGTACTGCTCAGGAAGAACGCACAGGGGCGGACCACACACCAGTGATGAATCCGGATATCGGCTTCAGACTATGGAACTGCTGGTCATGCTTGGCTCTCTCCTCCACGGTTATGGCCCAGATGTCCAGGCTACCTGCGGTCCAAAGACAAGACAGACAGATGTTCAGACACATGATGTCCACAGCACTTTAAAGTTCTTCGGGCATGCTCTAAATGGTGCGATAAACCACTGTCCTTGGAAGATGTGTCTAAAGTCTAAAAGAAGAACAAAGCAATTTAAAAAACAGCGCAAATACTTCCTAGAAACTTGATTCTATGAAAACATAAGAAGTTAGTAATTTATTTCAATACAACTAAGAAACAGACTAAGGTAACTGAAGATTAAAACTCTACCATCAGGTGCCTAAAATGTCACCGGTAAAGTGATGAAAATTTAAGAGGAGCACTAAAAAAAAGTAGTGGTGGCAATAACAGTACTGGTGGTGATGGTGGTGGTGGTGGTGGTGGAGGTGGTGGTGGTGGTGG